ATTAACCAATTCAAATCAAAACCCCTCAAAATCTCTAAACCAAATCAAATTCCTTAAACCTCTCTCCTCCAAATTTTAATCAAAATCCTAAATAATATATATATATATATATATATATATATATATATATATATATATATATATATATATATATATATATATATATATAACTATGTAACTACAACCGTCCCTATGATCAGTCAAATGGAAACAACATACTGAAAATATAATTTGCTTTATTTAATTACAAACAACAAATTACCTATAGGATATGCATTATCTATATTTAATTGCAAACAACAAACTTAAAATACAATATGCATCATCTAATTGTAAACAAACAAACTGGAGAATAGGATATGCATATCTATATGCAAACAATAACAATAAAAAATGTAGTGTTACAAATTACAATTTACAATTTTCTTTTGCGTGTTGCTAATATATTTTGCGTTTCAATTTTTTTTTGTTTTGTTTACGGAATGAAAATCAATTGCACAATACACACACATATTATAAGTTTACTTACAAATAAAACCGAAAGAGAGAGAGAGGAGAGAGTGGAAGAGAGAGCGAGAGATATATGAGAGATAGAAATGGGAGGCGTACGATCAGTAGGGGAGGGAGAGAGAGAAAGAGATATCTACGTGAGAGTGTATGAGAGAAAAAGAGTGATAAGTGGGATTTGTTAATTACTTTCATATTAAATCATATATTAATTAAGGGTATTTTGGTATATACACTGATACTGTATTTTAATGTTATATATTTTTGTTTGTGTCAAATGACCTACACATATATAATATATTCATCTAACAACTAGGTTCTCGATCTATATAAGTCCATGATAAGGGGTGTCTAGCCATTTTCCCATTTTATGAATTACTCTAAAACTATTCGGAGGGCAATGCCCTCGAATCCTAATTTTATGTAATATTCCCACTTTTGTATTATTTCATAAAAAACTCCCTTCCCCACACCCCTATAAAATTTCCAAGTTCCTCTTCTGGCTGCATACACCAGCCACTCAATCATTGGCACGCCAAACGAAATCGGCTCCACAATTGAGCTCATTCATCCCGCAGTGAGTTTCATCAGGAAACTCACTGTGATTAGGGTGGAATCGGGACGATTTTTTTTATATTCGCCGATTCCGATCCGAATTTTTGCGATTTTGGAACGATTTCCTGTAATTTGATTTTTGAAATTCCGAATTCCGATTTTTCTGACAAAATTGGATCGGAATTGGAACTTTATACAATTTTTTGGAATTTTCGAATTTCGATCCGAAAAGAATTCTGAATATTGTATAAAATTTTTGTTTAATTCCGAATTTCACTGGATTTTTTTTATTTTTTTTATGTATTTAAAAATTATTTTAGATATACAATCTAAGGCTACTATAATTTTTCTATTTCGGGCTGGGCCACAATTTATTTGTTTAAATATCTTGATGTTTGGCCCATTATTACAACTAGTCCACATCAATTTCTTATTGCCACTTCAGGGTGTTTGGCTAAGCTTATTTTAACAGCTGATAAGTTCTTACTTCAGATAAGATGTTTTAAGAGCTGATAAGTTGTTACATCTTATTTTTAGGATTAATTTTTAGAGTGTTCGGATAATGAGTTTATTTCCTATTTTTACTCATTAAAAGATATTAAATATAAAGGTGGGGTAGAGGTACTTATTTAAAAGATCTTATTTGCTCTCCAACAGCTTATTTTTAAAAAAATTAAGATCTTTTTCTAAAAAATTACCAACCACTTTGGAAGAGCTTATAAGCTCTAAAACATCTTATAAGCTTCTTTTAACAT